GTAGTGTGAGTGGTAGTGAGTGTTGGGGGGGGGGGGCGGGTCGAAGACGAGCAAGCAAGTAAGCAAGTAAGCAAGCAAGCGGCCCCTTCTAGAGCAGCAGCAGCAGCAGCAAAAGTTGCAGGATTTAAAAAAATGGCAGAAGGACGAACGTGATGAGCAGACAGAAGAATGAACATGATGAACAGACAGAAGATTGATAGGTAGGTAGATAGATAGATAGATAGATAGATAGATAGATAGATAGATAGATATAGCTAAAGGAAGAGGAGGTTGTTGCAACATCGAATACTTGTGGGATTGCTTCATTACAAGAAAGACACGGAGCAAGTCAAGGAAGGGAAAGAGAGAGACGGGCATGACGGGCATGTTCGACGAGCCCAGGAGAATAGCATCGAATGAGCCGTGTTGTATAGATCACATTGCGCCGGTGTGTGGTCCTTTCTTTCGCACGCAATGAGAATTTCGGACAGGCAACCCTAGCAATGGAAGGAAAGCTGTGGAACAGCGTTTGTTTATACAGTACATTGCATACAAAAATTGTGCAAAGCCCGCGACGCCTTCACTATGCCAATCATGCTCCTCGCAAATGCTCCCAAATGCTATCAAAGTGCTTTTAAGCCACGCTCAAGCATGCCTCCCTGAGCGTATTATCAACCCCGCCACCCAGGCTCTCCTGCGTAGCTTTGGTACTAATTGTCAGTAGAATAAATGCTCTTGTAGCCACCCTGCCTAGCAATATCACCGCTGCTACCACCCGGCAGCCCATCAATTGTCTTCCGAATCGGCGCAAGGCTGTAGGCTGGGCCATTCATGAACAACCGTTCCTGTCTCTGAGAAGAGGCGAACTGAGAATCATATTCGGTGGGCTTTGGCGGATATTGACCTGGGAGTGTGTTGTCTGGTGTCGCTCTCCAAATCCAGGCCGCATCGGCTGAAAATGTCTTCGTCAGTGCAGTGGTTTCCCTGATATCTAACTCTCTGGCGCTTTGTTGTGGCGAAACGAAGACGCTCGACGCCTCTTCCATGTTAAAAGTGCAAGCTTGTTTGTCCGTTTGACAACGAGTGCATGGCTTGCCTTGGCATGTGTACTGGGCTTTACAGCAACGGTCACATCTCGGATCCATCTTCGCGTTGGATGCAGGAAGCATGGCAACCGGCGGGCCGGGGAAAGGCTGGTACTGACTGGGAGGAGGGCGTCCAGAAGGATAATTACCACCGGTGTTTGGGGGTTTCGAGGTGCCATTTGGACCGCGACCATTTAGGATTGAGTTTGCAGATCCGCTGGCAGTAGCAAACCTAGCAAGAGCCTTTAAGGCAGAAGATGCTTCCAAAGTCTTCTCTGCAAGTTCCTTCTCCAGAGCCCGATTGCGCTGGCGGATAGAGACAGCTTCCTTGACCTGTATTTCTTGGTCTGCAATGACTTCCATCAGTTCCTCGTTCTGGGCATTGAGATCAGCGAGCTGTCCGGTGTAAAATGTTTCCATGGCGTCCAGAGCACTCTCCGCGTTCGCAGGTCGGACGAAAAAGTTGTCGGTACCGCTACCACTACCGCTATGACTGCTGAATGGCTCGCCAAGGTCTTTTATACGTTTTAGAGCCGCTTCTAGTTCTGCCACCCTGGTTGACTTGACTGCGATCTGAGCAACGAGGTCATTTTCACGCTTTTCATAATTTTGAAGTCGCTCTCGGTCGGCTTCCCACTTCTGAGCTCGTTCGCTCAGCAGTGTAATCAAGTCATCTAAGCCGTGGGTATTTGTTGCCGCAGATGCGATCTTTGGGGTCCCATTCAGTCCCAGGCTCTCTTCGGCTGTAATGATGCCAGACGCAGGCTCCGGGACTGCCATATTAGCATTTATAGAGCTGGAATTGACGAGAGCCTTGGTCGCGGGGGCTTTTAACAGAGGTGGTGAAGTTCGTTCGGTAAAATAGGCCATCTCACTATCGGGGCTGACAGGGTCATCGTAATCGTGACCAAACTCCGGCCGTGGAGGGTACCTATGTTCGGGATCAAGGGAGAACATGGGGCGATTGCGAGTTGCTTCAAGCAGAGCTTGTTGCAGGCGTTGAGATTCTTGCAAGGTTTGAGCTTCCGCAGCGGGATCTGATTTCGAGTGGATACGCTCCAGCTTGAGGCTCTTCGTGAGAAGGGCTTGAAGAGCATGCAGTATTTCGTCGTTCGACCAAGCCCCAAAACTGTTCTTCTGAGGAGGAAAACTGGTGAGCAGTCCGAGATCTGGAAAGATCCATCTCCAGCCGGGAAGACCAAAAGCTTGGTTTCCGATATTTCCCATGAGGACATCTTTGAAATGGAACTTAGAGCTGCCTGTTTCCCCCGCTATGACTTGTCAATTTTTTCTACTTTTCAAGCGAGGCGATGGACATACCAATATACTGGGTGAAAGCTGCTTCTGCGATGTCCACGAGCCTCTTCCGATCCTCCCGTTCCCGTTCACCCCATAACTTAGAGGGCCTGGCATCAACAAGGGATAAATCGCCGTTCTCCAGCGCGTTGTTACATTCCCGAATCTGCTTCAACGACCAGTCGTACATAGCATCCTGAGGAAAGCCGGGATAGTCGCGCGTGAATTGCCACTCGTAGACGTCGTGTACTGATGCCAAACAGTCCCTGCCATCATATGAGATTTTTTGTGAATGATCGATCAGGGTCTCTGTGAAGCAGAAAGACATTAGTAGAGACATCATGTGATCTGATAGCCAAGATTGAACCCCATGTACCTATTCTGTAGATCAGTTTTTGTTCCAAAAACTTTGCCAACAGACGGCGGGCTCTCTCTCCACGATGATCCTGTTGATCCCATTTGAGGCCGGGCTGGTTAAAGAGGTGATCAGTGTCTTCTCCCCATTCAAGCTTATTGAGGGTGTCGAAGTCAATTTCGGTGTCCCCGATTAGTACCCTACTGCCGCCCGCTGGAGAAGCCATTACGAGCGTCGAGCTCTCTGGATGAGTGAGTGAGTATTGTAAGTATGGTATGCTTGTGTCGTTTGAAGTTCACACGATATTTTGCGGGAGGAATCGGTTGAGGCGCAAACGCGGAAGGTGACGGACGGCTACGTGACGCCCTGCAAACAAGGCGGCTGTCAAAGCAGATGGACTGGGACATCCGAGGGATCGATCTTGGTATCAAGATTGGGATTACCACCAAAGGTGATTTACCACCAAAGGTGATTGATTCCTCAGCTTGTTGAGATGGGGGAGAGTGAAAGTCAAATCGGATGCTTGCTGAAGATGATATCGATCTATGAACAATTATGCCAAGCCTTTCCACGCTAGACCGTACTACGGCTGAAGGAGGCACCAGTAGCCTTGCACGTCGATATTCAGCGCCACTACTACCCTCTCTTCGGCTTCACTTCAGCAAAGACCGGCAAGAGTAAGAAATCAGAAAGCAAAATGGCACCACCTTCCCAGCTTGCAATCGCGACGTCCGCTCTCCAACGCCTGGTCAAAGAAGAGGTTTCCTACGAGAAAGAGCTGAAGGGGCAGGAGACCAGGCTGGAGAAGATCCTAGCTACGAAGGATGAGGACGAGAACGCCGAGTACAAGCTAAAGCAGGAGGTAAGGAGACCATCTGTGTTGTGCCTATTCACCCATCGAGGCGAAAAGCTGCAGAGAAGGAGCTTCTGGCACGGCTGACGAGCTGAGCTGGAGGGTCTGCCTGCTGTCAGGAGCCTCTTCGCTATGCTACAGAATCCCCTCAAGAATTCAAGAGGAATCTATTCTCTGCACGAAACCTAGTTCTGAGAGATCTGTGCTGATATCTCGTCCCCCAGCGAGCAGCCATCGAAGAAACCAAAGCCGTCTTCCCGCCTCTCCGTGAACGCATCAGCGATGCCCTGAAGAAACTCGAGGATCAGGTCGAAACCGCACAGTCAAGCGGAGCCAGCGAGGAGGAAATCGTCAAGGCGAAGGAAGTCATTAAGAGTGCGAAGGATGACGCAGAGAAGTGATGTGGGGCGTGGAAGGGCGAGGGAGGGGGGAAATGTGTTATTTGGGGGGAGCGTAAATGATACCACGGCGATAGGGAGCTTTATTGCGTTCTGAGGCACTCTGATATGATTTTCACGATGGAGTTCTGGGAGACAGATAAAGGGTCTCATGCTTCCATGGTACATGGATCAATAAAGGGGAATCTAACTATGTGGTGTCCATTTTGTCTTCAGCTGCCTCTCCTTCCTCTATAGCTTCTACCATATCCTCGGCAGGCTCTTCAATGGTAACTTGTGGAGTCTCGACCTGCGTCTGTGACTCTACAGCCTCCGTCATGGGCGTATCAGCAACATCGGCAGCATCCACCTTGGAGCCTGAATCCGTCATATTCGCATCTTCGCCATCCCCAGCTTCTACACGGCGTTCGGACCCAGTAGGCGATTGAGCCCGACTAGTCGTCCTGCTTCCTGGTCTCGACAGGCTCCCCGAAGTCATCGATTTCGGCTTCAGGCCTGCCTCACTGCTCTGCCCCAGCTCGTCAACACTTGGCGTAGCATTCTCACTATGCTTCGGCGTGACAGCCCCCCGAGAAGCTCCATCGTCAGCGCCCTCGTCCCCTTCAGTCTCCTTTAGCCCATCCTTCCTCTCAACCTCATCGGCTTCGTCCCTGATCAGCGCCCTCAACGATTTCCCCTCCTTGATAATCTTCTCAAATTGCGCGCGCCGCTCTCTCCAGATAACACCGTATTGCTCGCTCTCCCTTCTCTCCTCCTCACACCCCGCCTCCAGCTTCGCCAGGTTGTCCGCCTGCACATCTCTTGGCTTCAATAGCATGTTATTGGTGATCTTCTCCGCATGCTTATCAAATTGCTTTCGCTGCTCTAAGCTGGCCTTGGCCTCTTCAAGCTGTACCCGTAATTGCACAGTGTTTTCTCTCACCGCCTGAGCCGTGTCCAAGATGCGCTGCTTGTCGGCTTTGTATCTCTCGCGCTCACGCTCGTTGCTGTTGAGCAGGAACTGGATGCGCGAGATGCTGTAATTAAACGCCGCAAAGTCGAACTCGACGTCCTCGCGGAACTGGCGCCGCAGATCGAGGTCGTGCTGGCGGAAGGCTTCCTGCGCGTTGTTTTCTGAGCCGCTCTCCGGGGGAGGAGTGAGCGGCTTGCTGGGCGTGACGATGAGGGAGCCGGGCGCGAGGAGGCGTTTGGTGATGCGTTTAAAGGGCTTTTCTTCGACATTGAGCAGACGCGATTTGTGAAGCTCGTCTTCCTCGCGGGAGTCGAGGACTTGAAAGGAATCCATTGTGTTGTGATTGTACCTGGTTGTGATTGATGGAGAAGATGCAGGTCGTTGACGCATTCTAAATTTGGTAGCAGTGCGGCCGCTAGTGTACCCCGGCTTTAATAGACAAAGCCTCGTGTTCCAGACTTGACCTTTCTCCTTTGTCCCTCGGATACATACATTTCCACCAAGCGTCTTCTCTCAGTTCTGGGAAACTTTTGATCTTCACTACACCCATTGATTGCACACGTTGAAGGCATTCTTCTTCTAAACCACTCCTGAGATACTCACTCCCAATACTCACTCCCACGAGAAGACAGATAGGCCTCTGACGGCCGGTTCATCTCGACGGATCAATCTTGAGAGCCCTGCATACCAAAGCACATCCAAAATGCCTGCCCCGTCTCTAGTCGACCTCTGCACAAAAGCATGCGTTAAGAACGTCCGCAGTAAGCCGCGGCCCCCCTCATCCTTTCTTATACCCCTCTAACACACCCCTCAGGCCTCATAGACGTCGGCTCCTTCGAGTACTGGCAAATCCGCACCGTCTTGCAACGCGTCGAGTCTCCCGAACAACTCCACCAAATCGAGCAAAACTCCCCTCAGCTTCTAGGTGAAGATGCCGAGCTTTGGCAAGCCTTCATCGCAAAACACATTCCCAACTGGCAGACCAAGAACTACCGGCCCAAGAACCCGACGAAATGGTACGAGGTTTATTGCAAATACAAGAAGGAGCAGAAGGAGGAGATCGCGCGCGATGAGGCGATCCTGCGCACCTCCATGATGGGCCTGCAGAAGGCGCGGGAGACGAACGTTAGCAAGATTGTGGACCTGAAGATGCTGCCCAAGATGCCGCGGGATCCGCGTATGATGGCTAACAATGGCGGGGTGCCGCTGAAGGGGAAGAGTCTGTTTCGGAAGGAGGCCCCGAGTAGCCTGAACTGGACGAGTGGTAGTAAGACGAAGATGACAAATGGGAAGAGCGTGTTGACTAGAGCGAGGAGGGAAGCGAAGGAGATAAGCCAGATGGGCAAGCTGGCGAAGCCGACCCATCGGTTGGCCCTGGGACATGTGCAGAAGGCGCCCGCGGGCATGGTTAAGGAATACAGGACTGCGGCGCAGCCCGCCATTAAGATTCTGTCGAAGAAGAGTGGTGCAAGTGGTCTTAGCATCTCTGGCGGGGTGACGGGACCGTCGTTAGAGGAGAGGGAGAGGAAATTGAGGGCGGCGATGGGGAGTGGCTCAGGGGCCGGAACGAATGCTACCATGGTCGGCTCCTCGGATGAGGAAGACTTCATCGTCGACGACGACGACGATGACCTATTCGACGAAACGCCAAAGACTCAAGCCAGACCAGCATCTTCTTCGCGAGTCTCGAGCTCGAGACCTTCAGACCTCAGCTCCAAAGCAAGACCAGCAGGCCCAGCCTCCTCTCCACCGGCCAGATCGAGAGGCGCAACGTCACCGCAGCCAAAGCCTATGATGGCGCCGAGACGGAAAGCAGAAGTCGACATCTTCAACCGTGGAGCTAAGAAACGCAGGACTGGATAGACAATGAATGAATCCGGTCGGATATAGTGATTTCCGGTAAGGGGGGCATCTAGGGGGGGCAATTGGGAATTTTTTCAGCGAGGCGTTCGTTGGTGCATACACACATTATGGCTTGGCATTTCTTGGGCTGGTATGGTGGACGCTATTGCATCGTACTTGGAGACAGGTTATAGTAGGTAGTCATGTCATGTCTTTTCAAATTCTGCTCGCTCGAAACGGTCATTCATCTCTTGTCTAAATAAAGCACTCCCTCCTGCCTTTCCAGTAAGTAAGTAAGTACTTTGTATGTTGGAATTTGACCCTACAGCCCACGCAGCCAGCAACTGACAAAAGAAAAGCTCAAATCAAAGGTAGAAGAGAAGAGGCACTAGCAACATCAAATGCATCAGATGCATCATATCACATATAACACAGCCCATTACATATAGCCCAGCCCAGCACACAACCTCCTCTCCTCTCAGCTCCCTCCCTCGCAAGACAGCAGAATCAGCACAAAAAGTAGTGAAAAAAATGGAATCGACTATGCCATCTACCAAGGTACCCCCCGTACCCTCCACGCGAAAAAAACACAAAAGTCATCATCAATCAATGGTGAAGAGGGCTGCTCACTCAGACCATTTCCTTTTCCCTTCCGTGCAAGGAGGCCGGCCAACCAATCAATCCGGTTTCCAGTCTGTAAGCTTGTCCAACACAAGCGCAGCGTAAATGCGTGGAAGTAAATGCGTGGAACGCCAGCCAGCACCGTCCTTGTCTCTGGCGGGAGGTAAGTGATATGCAAGTAAGCAAGCAAGCAAGTACCGGTAAGCTGCCGCGCGCAAATTCACAGAGAGAGAAAGAGCCCACATGCGCGCGCAGAGAACTTGTGTGTTGGGGGGGGGGGGGGTGAAAAACAATGCGAGAGAAGAGAAAGGCTATGCAAGGCAAGGTGTATCATTGAGAAAAGCCGTGGGTCAACAATCAAATCCCGTAAAAACCCGTGTTTGTCTTAATAACTGCCCCATCTACCCTGTGTTGCGTCCCAGCCGCCCAACTATGCCCCTATGTCACCACATCGAGTCGCACGTTGTCGCTTTACGTTTCGAGATTTGGGACATCGATTGAGTGGGATAGTCGAGACGTCGAATTGCATGTTTTTAAATTGAGTGATGCGCAACCCAGGTAGGTAGGGAGGGTCAAAAAAAAAAGGTGTCGAAGACCGAACTTGACTTGACGGGTTACAGGAAGGGCGAGGAGGCAGCAGCGTCGCCGCCACGCAGCGCAAGCACCAAATGCAGCGTCGCGCCACCGACCAGAGCGTAGTCCGTCGCCGTCTTATCGTCCGCCCTGCTCATCGAAGGCATTATCAGTCCTTGTATGTAGATATCCCCCAACGCTGTGAATACCTCTCTGTGTGTGTTCCTGGTGCCCGAAGTGGTGATTATTGATCTATATGATGGCGGGGTAGCGGGGAGCCTGGGCCCCGCTCCCGATCTCCGAACAGAAGGGGAGGGAAGGGTGAGGAAAAACAACGTACATCTGCTTGCCGCCGTAGATCAGGCGCTGTTGAACGGGGGGGATTCCCTCCTTCTCCTCGACTTTCTCTTTGATCTGCGAGACCTGCGCGCGCGCGTTAGCTAGGTAGCGGAGCTGCGAAAACCTCCCAGACTCCCGTCCTCCGAGCTGGGAAGGAGAGGTGGAAGACCGCACCTTGTAGTCGCCCTCGATATCGAGCTCGATCTCCTTGCCGGTGAGCGTGCGAACCTTGATCTGCATTTTGACGGTGTTTTCGGGGTCAGAAGGATGGGTTTCGGTGGTAGAGGTGCAACAGCGTGAGCGTAGTGAGGTTAGGTTGCTGCGTTCAAGTCCTCCTCTGATTCCTTTGACTCTGGTGGGTTGGTGTGGCTTATCGATAAGAATGGTGGTTGCCGCCGGAGAATATCAAATCCGAAGTTACTGAGTCAAGTTTACGCTAGTGTGGGGAAGTCATGAGCAATGTTCAGGATTCGCTTTAACAGGTAGGGGCGCTAGGGTGCACGGACCACTTTCTGGGAGACGTATATTCTATCGTGCTGTAGGGAACTTCCGAGAGGATACATCCATTTCTCCTAAGAATCTCTTCCCTCATCCTTCTCTCAGCTAATCTCATCTTCATGAAGGCGAATAAATATACTGACAATTCAGCAGCGGCCGAACAGCCTATCCACCTATCCACTGGCTCACCCATCACAATATATGCATATGCATGTCCGGTACGGCTAGCAACTATGCAATCCAGAACATACAAAAAAGCATGCCTCAAAAGCCTTTTGGATTTAGTCATTGGATAGTACATTCATCCAACACCAGTTATACCAGCTGGAACGGATTTCATTCCTCCCACCAGACTCTCTCAAGACTCAAAGGTCTAAACTAAACACCCCATGTCTTACCCACAGCCTTATCGCTCATTCTCCTTTCGCTCGCCCTACTCCCCTTCTTCGCCTCCGTCTTCGCAGGCAGCAGCTCAAAGCTCCGCGCAAACGTCGCCGTCATATGCGCAATTGCTTTGGTCATGATGATCCACGCGCCCACGTCGACATTGCTCGCATTGTCCCCGACGCCGTGGTAGTTGACGTCGTACCACACGCCGGCCTGCCCGCCAAACATGGCCTGCTCCTCCACCGTCTTGACGCCCTCGGCGCCGCAGCAGATGCCGCCCGTGGCTACCCCCGCGTCCAGAAATGGCCCATAGTCTGATCTTCCGTCAAATGGGACTTGAGTGAAGTTCTGCCCCATCTCCTCTGTGAAGAAACGCTGGAACTCGAGCTCCGCCTCACCGCTGCCTGAGGGCCCGGCTTCCTCAAATGCCGACCCGTCGCCGTCGTAGATCTGGAAGGCATAGTTGGGGGACGCCATCATGTCGAAATCGAGCATGAGCCGGATCTTGTCGAGCTCGGATTGGGGTTGCGCGGAGACGTAGTAGGTGGCACCTAACAAGCCGGACTCTTCGGCTGTCCACCAGGAGAAGCGGACCGCATTGTTCACGGTGAAGTTGGTAAGGTGGATAGCAACTTCCAGAATGGAGATAGTGCCAGAGCCATTGTCATTGATACCGGGGCCTAAGAAAGAAACTTGTCAGTACGAACTATTGTCTGGGATAAAGACAGATGGAGCGCACTTACCAGCAGCAACCGAATCAGAGTGGCCCGAGATATGAATAACATTATCATGGTCTCCCTCGATCGTCTCCGCCACGATATTATTCGTAGTGATATTTCTCGTCTTCGTCGAGAAACTCGCAACAACCTGTTCTCCAGCATTGAGTCTCGCAACCAAGGCCAGACCCTCCGCTTCCGTAATGCCAGCGGTAGGCACATACGGTCCGCCGGTACCGACTAGGATCTGTAACGAGTAGCCCTCGAGCGTGCCGACGTCGTTGTTGTACACGATCATGCCGACGGCACCCGATAGATAGGCGTTGTGGGCCTTGATGCCGGACTGGCAGTCACCGCGGAGGACGAGGGCGATTTTACCCGCCGTGTCAGCTGGGAAGTCGGCCTATTTTCCATCAACCTCGGTTTTTCTCACTCGACACACTAGGCCTACACGATACGCCAAGATGAAAGAACCAGAGAGGTAAGACTTACAAGCTCACAAGCTAAAGCAGCAACCACAACGACAGGCGCGCTCACGTTTCCGGCGGGCGCCAAATCCACCGCAAACGCCTCCGTGCTCACGCCGCCCAGACTCAACGTGGCGCCGGCACCGATGGACAGCCCGAACGGCTGCAAGTAGTACGTGTAGTAGTCCTTGTACTGGTCCAGGATGCCGGTGATCCAGGCAACGGTGTTCTCGTGGCCCGGGGAGCCGATGATGCGGTTGCGGCCCGGAGTCGCGTAGGCGATGCCCTCGAGGGTCTTTGCTTTGGCAAGGAGAGCCGAGCGGGTCATCAGGCGACGGAGTTTGTTCTACGTTTTCGTCAGACTTGTCTCTTGGAGAAAGGGACTCTCACTGATAGGACAGGGCAAGTTGGAACTTACAGACTCGACCAACGGCTTCGCAGCACGAAGCTCGACATCGTGAGGCGAGACCGAAACGGCAGCAGAGCTAGCCGTCGCAAATGCAAGCACCGCAGCGCCGAGGGATTGCGAGAACCGCATGATCAAGTACAAGCAAGTACGAGCAAGTACGAGCGGCAGGGACGCCTGGATGATCAGGAGAATGAGCCGGGTATGGTAATGTACCGTGCGGCAAAAAAAGCCAAAGACGATAGACGATAGACCAAAACAACCATGACAGGTAGGTAGGTACCTCCTGGATCTTCTTATACTTACCTCCCTACAGCCAGCCCACCCTCGGAAACAATAGTACCGGAATCAGGAAGCAACCCAGCGCGCAGAAAAATACATCTATCGCACAAGCTGCACCAGGTGAAAGGTGCAGGTGCAGATGCAGGTGCAGGTGCAGGAGCTAAACAAGCAAATGATAAGAGTTCTGCCGAGCGCTGCTTATGTTCTCTTGATTGAGCTTGTTTATTTGTCGAGGATCCACTCGCTCGCTCGAGAGGGAAGGAGCTAAGGCATTAGATTGGGGCAGGCAGGCAGGCAGGTAGTCAGGCAGGCAGGTGGGGCCTGGCCTTGGCGCATGCCCGGGTGGGTGGCCACTCATTGGGCTTATCGGCTTGCGGGCTGGTTTTGGTGGTCTAGTTGGAACTTGGAAGGAGGAAGGAGGAACTTGGAAGGAAGAACTTGGAAGGAAGAACTTGGAAGGAAGAACTTGGAAGGAAGAACTGACTGAGGGACTTGATAGGAAAGGAAAGGGAAGGGGAGGGAAGGGTTTGTTGGCGGGACCTGCAGCATACAGACAGGGCAGGGCAGGGCAGGGCAGCAGCATCCAGGCAAGGGGGAGTTGAGCGTTGGCCTGGATTGTTTTTGATATGAATGGAGTATTGGTTGTTGGCCGTGCATGCATACAGTATGCACCGACCATCCATCGCGGCGAAATCATCATCAATTCATTCATTCATTCATTCATATATGCATTCATATATTCATTCATTCGTTCATTCATATATTCATCTTGTCTACGGAGCCAACAGTTATATCTATCCCGCACTTCCTATCCCTTCATCTCTTCCGCCTTCCTCTCCGCCCGGAAATATCAACCAGGTCGCCATCGAAACACCTTACCTACCTACCTACCTACCCACCTACCTACCTAGACCTACGTCCCCGGCACCTTCGTCACAAACCTCACGAGATGGCTCGCAAACAGACCCGTATTGGCACTCTGCGCCGCCAGACTCGCCCCGTTGCGATCGACCATGCTCACGGCCCCGACGGTGTTGAGCCCGTAGACAAAGACCGACGAGCCGGCGTAGGACTGGCCGGCGCCACCGCCCGAGTCGATGCCGAAGATCTGGGTCTGGCAGTACTCGTTGTAGACGCTTGCCGTGTGGTCGGAGCAGGCTGTGAAGATGCAGAAGAATGAATGGCTGGGTCAGCCCTGCCCGGCCAGCAAGCATCTTGATTAGGAGAAGAGGGGTTTCATGGGCAGGAAATAGATAGAAATAGATGAAAGTATGTTGGATACGGAACGGATATGATGAGGAGGATGAGGATGAGGAGGAGAAAAAAAGGGGGGGTTGGAGAGGGCGATAAAAGAAAGAGAGAGAAAAAGAAGAAAAAAGCTGGGCTTAGCTTACTAAGAGAGTAGTTATTAAAGAACGAGTACAGACCGGCGCCGTAGACGAGGATGCTTGCCGAGTTCAAGACGCGGAGGCCCCAGGACAGGTAACAGTTGTCGCCCTTCCCAGCGCAGGAGACAGAGAAGTTCGGGTCGTTGCGGTCGGCGATGGCAGGAAACGGGACGTTGGCCTTGGGTGCTGGCTGATAATAGCTGTCGGCGGGTTAATGACAGGAACATGCGCTCGTGGAGGAACAAGCAAGCAAGAGATGACGACGTACGGAGTCTCGGTCTGAATGAAACCCATGAAGATATTCTTCGTGTTGCTGGACTGATACTGGTAGAGCGTGTGATGCTCGACCGCCGTGCCGATGCTGTCATCAGTCAGCAGCGTCCCCGACTCCGAGAGGTAGAAGCTAACAGCCACAAGTTCCCAGTCGTACTCTCAACGGAAAGTCCGCGACCAGCGTAGGCCGAAATACGGGTGTTCTTGTTCTCGGCATCATCTAGGTCGTGATCAGCAGTCCACAACCATACGTTTTCCATGTACAGTCCGGTTCCGATATTAGCAACTCGCATTGATTGGAAAGCAGCGATGCAGTTGCCATTGGGCTGAGCGGCGGTGATTGCGCATTGGGGTGTCTGGAGATTGCTGCCTTTGAACCCGGCGATACGGGTATGGACATCCCACATTCCCGACGGAGTTGCAGCTGGGGAGGCAAGATTCCACTGGATGAGGATAGCTCCGGCGGCAGCACCCTGAGTAGAAATAATCATATCCGACCATTCGACCACACCAGTTTGACCACTCGCAGCTCCGACTTGGACAACAGGCACCGGGTTGTTGATATTGGAGAAGAACGGGCCAGAGCCCATGATTGTAGGGTAAGACTCTCCGACAATCCTGGCTCCGGGAGGTATCGTGATTGAAGTAGTGATCTTGTATACCCCGTAATCGAAGTATATGATCTTGCCTGCCGAGGTGGCAGAATATAGGAGGTTTTGGATGATGGTAGTGTCGTCGGTGACTCCATCACCCTTGGCACCTGCAGCCCGAACGCTGTAGAAGTCAGCCGAGGGAGTTTTCTCGTACTGAGGCTTAGAGCGTGTATAGTATCTAGTACTCTTCAACAGAGAGGCCGGGCGGACGAAGGAAGAAACCGGGCTCATCGCCTTGTTGGGGCCAGTTGGCGAGTAAACGTTGCCTTGGACCCAGCCGGCGACGGTGATAGTACCCGAAGAACCTGCTAAAGATGTGGACGAGGGACCGTTGACAGCAACCGGGACGTTAGAGAAGATGACATTCTCGAGTGCGAGACTGCCACCTCCGTTCGGGAGCGATGTGCTGGATCGTGCAGAGGCGATACCCACCCGGGTGTTACTAAATGTGCTGTCGATGACTACTACCGATCCCACCTGTTGGCCTTGAGATCCGGTATTTGACATGTCGATGCCGACTCCACAGTTATTAATGGAAAGACCCATGTATGTCCAGCTCCAGTCCCAGATTTGGTAGATAGCCGTGGCAGAGCTGTGATATCGTTAGCGTGTACTACCTATCGGCCATCCCGCGGAACATATGTCTCTCATACTTATAGAACGTCAGATTTCGGGACGTAAATTGCTGAGATCCGACTTCCATAGCATGGTCACCGCCATAGAAGATCAGATCATTCATGAATCCACCAGATCCTGCCCGCCAGGCCTGTTAGCAACGTCTCCAAGATCGGAGGCACCTGTAACCGACCATTTTCAATGAAGACGCCCTGGTGCTTGTTCCCACTGGCGGTGCTCATCTTAAAGACACAGTTCTGGAGACTGGTCGCTTGAGCAGTCGGCCAATGAATACCTCTGGCAAGGGCTGCGGCAGGTTGAGATGTCATATCGAACACCAAATTTCTGACTTGACGGTAGAATACGTTTGTAGTGCCATACGCAGGCTCAGAAGACAGGTATGGATCGCCGTCTACGAGAGCAATGCCGCTGAAGCTGACGGTCGCCTTCAACACGGCCATTTGACCTGGGTTGGGGTTTCCGATGAGGTTGGTCATGTAGAAGGGGACAATTGGGACCGAAATCAGGTACGTTCCCGCGGGGAAGTACACGGTGGCGGGCGAGATGGTGCTGGACTGGCATCCGACGCCTGGAGTTCCTGGTCGGCATCGAGAGCCGGCAGCGATAGCTGCGTTGATTGCCGCTGTATCATCTGTAACTCCATCACCTAGAAATGTTCAGCAACATCCCTGACATTCGGAGGAGATACACGAACCCTTTGCGCCGAAGGACTTGACGTTGCGGAAGACTTGGTAGGTAGCAGGACTGGCATTGAAAGGGGCAACGCCGCGCTTGGTGATCCATTCAAGCCAGAAGCTCTTCCCATCCTGTCCCACGACTTCGGCCACCATGCCGAAAGCGAGCAGCAAGGAGAAGACGAATTTCATCTTCGTGGTGCGTTGGAATGGCGAAGTTTTAGATTTTAGTTTGGGAAAGGGAAGATCAATATGTAAGGACAGCGTGTGGTTTGAGAGGGTGAAGAAAGTGAATGTGGAGACGTCGGGTCATCTTTCGGAGAGAGGAAGTGACTGAATTCAAGAATGAATGTATGTGTGTATGCACGAAGAGAGGGTGTAGGGGTACGGGTGATGGGAGGAGGGCGAGAGAGAAGGCAAGACACGACGGGATGGTCGTGATGAGGCCAAAGGACGTGTGGAAAGGTCAGGAGTCACATTTCACCCAAAAGCGGTAGCCGAGATGGGCCTGGCATATCCAGATCTAACATATTGAACAGAACGAACGCAGGGCGGTCATAAAGCACGAATTAACAAACTAACTTGGTAACGGTGGCGGCGGGCTGAACAGCCACTGCGAGGGCAAAGACGACGACGCAAACAGAAGAAGTGACTTTGCAACAACAAAAAAAAAAAAAAAAAGTTAATTCAACGTCTGACGGTCTGATGAGGGCAGCTGACAAGTACTGAGATAGATCATAGATACCTCCACCTCCTGTCCCGCTCATCTGATCTGACCGATCAGGCCAATCTCAGGGGTGAAAGTGACCGGCGGAGGGAGATGCGGGGAAGGGAAATCTTGACAATCATGAAGCTATTCCCAATTACGCTTCTCGGCTTATTGTCCCGAGCGAAGGGTGGAGTGACGAGCCCAGTGGTGGCGTTGATGGGCGGGCTGAGGTCTGAGGTCTGAGAACTGATAACTGGCCGACAAGCCAACCCGCATTCTCGCCCGTCCAGGAGAAGGAAAAGGAGAAGTTGAAGGGGGTCGGATGAGCTTCAATTCAATGCAAGAAGACAGCGTCGGCGACGGCATGACCATGACCACGACCTTGGCCATGACCAGAGAGGTCTCAGGAGCAAGTCTCAACAGTCTCAAATCAAAGACATGGCCGCCAAGGACCAAGGTTACGTCTTGTCACGGGACTTCGCATAGGTGAAGACCAACAGATGCTCCAACGCCAAATCAGACATCAACATCTTTTTCACATACTCCGTATATTCGTACATCGGCAGCTACCTTACCACGCCCTCATTCTTCACATCTTTGAATTTCAAGCCCACATATTTCGACATATTATTTTTAGCGGTATCAAGAAAGTCTGGCTTAATCATTAAGAAGAAAAGAACATAACCGGTTACAATGTGAGTGGTCGATCAGACAATGGCAACAGCCGTTATCCACGCTGATCTATATTCCAAAGCTGGCCCAGTCTTCCTCCGGTCTCAATTTCGTGAAACAAGAAGCTCAGGTCTTGATCTGCCGGGACCTTCCACTCCGTCAAGACGGCCCGTGGGAATTTGTACTCCTTCCACATTCGGAGCCCCTTTTTGTCGAAAAAGACTCTTTCACGCCGCAGAAGGGCCAGTGCGGATACGTTCTTATCGTAGTCTATTTTCGCGCTGCTGCTGCGTTGAGATCCGCTTAGAGCTTCGAAGTCTTTTATTGATTCCCGAACCCGCATGATGGATTCCCGAAACATACCGTCGACCATCCACCATTCCCGGGAGATGGGTTTGTTGGTAGGAGGTCTTGGCCGCGAACTCGGTGTCTTTGGCCCGCTCGATTCCTGGGCTCGGCGAGCATTTCGTGTTGAAAGCTCTACAGCCTCTCTCTGTTTGGCCCTCTCTCGTTCATCTTCTTTTTCCCAAAACGATTTGATCTTGGCGTGCTTCGTCCTATAATATACAATCCAACTCTGCAATTTCCATTTACGACAGAGTGGGCCTTTCGCTGCAATATCCGCCTCGATCTCAACCAGCAGTTCCACCGAGGTCTTGCGACCCACCCCTTCAAGCTCCCAGTACTTGGCCAGGATGGTCGGAAATTTATTTTCGAACATGAGCTTCTCTTGTGTTGCGATCTTCCTCATATTCCACTTCGAAAATTCTGCGGCGAGGGCTTCCTCGTCGTCTGCAACGCACTGGCGGATGGACATTTGGACCAGGACGTCCAGCATCCGGAGCTCCGGGACGGTTTGCACTTGCGGCATGGTGAACTCTCGTGTCTTCGAATACCGAATGTGATTTGAGAATTGGTAACTGACTTTTCTGCTTTCTGTAAACTCGATGAATTTGGGCTCGCTGGCTGGGTATGAATTGGAGACATGGTGCATCAGTAGAGGGGAGATCTTATAATAGAATTGATTATCGAAGCAATAAGCCCGCAGCTCCGGTTATTCATACGCTACATCATCTGATTCAATGAACAGCCAAGCTTGCTCTGAATGTCCCCAGCAGATCATCCGCCTTCAGTGCTGACTTGTTCACCACGAAGAGTAACGAACGACATTGATTCGGCCACTTTCGTCAAGGCATCGGCCGGCTATACACACTTTCGCTATAGATATAAGCTGGATAGTATACAGTAGAAACCAGGTTTGAAATATAATTTTCAGTACTAGTATGCTACCTGCCTCGGGCTTTGCAAGTTAGATATATCTTGCATTGAGAGAGGACCGCTCACGGAAATGGCTAGCGGATCAGATATTTAAGGTATTTAGGAGATGACAGCTTACTCAAAACTCATTCACGCGATCGGATTATCAGCTATTTTTCAAGGTATGATACTTGTGCGGTTTGCTCTTGGCTTACTAGGAGATCAAGGACTTCAGTCTTTCTTTCTACTAGCTGCTGGTCACAGATTGTTAGAACAAACAAGGTAAGTGAAATAAATCCTTTGGATGATTAGATTCTTGATCAGAGATTTAGATTTTTTTTTCTTTTCGGAAAATGCAAAATTTAGAGAAAGAAAGTCGGTTTGCAAGTCGGTATAGTGCAGTCGTGGGAATGTGTGAATAAGAGGATAGCTTGCCTTGTTGGCCCATGGCTATGAGTATCTATCACGTGACTGGGTCACGTATTCAGCACTCTTTTTTGTTTTATAGACAAGTGGATGTTCCTCCTTGAACAAAACGCCACGCATATACATTCGTTCACGACGAATCTCACCCTCCCCCTCTCTTACTATCTCTCTATACAGTTCTTCTTTATATGAGATTTGTACTACGTGAAGCCTGATTCCCTCCATGATATTCACTTTACTTCTTTGAATGCAAAGGCAGGAAGACGACTGACAACCTCATTTTCTGTTGGAAAGCGCGGCTCAGACTAGCGCCAGGCGTGTCTAAGCTAAGCCTCGCTCCTCCTCTTGAATCAACACCAGCTCTCTCTCTCACTCTCCCGGTTTCTTCTGAGCCCTTGATTATCCTACGACTCTTGGTCAACCGCGATCGAATATGCCCCCTTCGGATCCTCTGAGACACACCTTCGCTGTGCTTCCTTTGATGAAATCCGAAGTTCATCCTAGTCCGTCAGGTCTGGCATCAGAGCCAAGCAGCCCTGCCTATGCAGCGGTTTACCGGCATACTTTTGGCAAACACAAACACAAGACGCTGCAAGAGATCGAGGCATGTGATCTGCCCTACATAGAATGGTTGCGAGGTAGCTATATGGCAAAGAACTCTAGGGATTTGCAGAAAGCTCTGCAAGCATATGACGCGGCTAAATTTCCACGATCCCCAGCGAGTCTGCCCCATATGACCGAGTCACAAGCCTCTCCTGCCTCCCAGAAGAGCGCAGCTGGAAACAAGCGGAAAATGCAACCCCAGAGCGACGAACAGCCTCGCAAGAAATATGTTCTTGATTTTGGGTTGAACCGTGGCAGAGCCTTGTCCGATGTTCCCGACGAATATGTTGAGAATCTCCGAGAGCGTATTCGAAGCGGGACCTTCACGCCAAAGCCGGCACTCGTCGCTGCCTTGAAGGACCATAAACCATCCAAGGCCGCCTTCAAGCCTACTTGGACGCCACCCGAGCTTTCCCAGGCCTCGCCGGTATTCCAAGACGACACATTTGGCGACTTGTGGATAGGATACGTGGATGCTCAGAGGTTCTTCGGGCTGAATTCGGATCACTTCGTTTTGTTGCCGTACGCGGATCCTCCAAGGTTCTTCGGGCTGAAATCGGATCACTTCGCTGTATTGCCGAGGGCAGAGGCAAGCAAAAGCTCGAACTTTAAGGGCAAATACTGGCTGTATCACGTCTATGATATCTTCATGTGGCATGTTTCGAAGGATGCCGCTGACAAAGCACTCAAAGCCTTTCTCGCGTGTTACCAAGATCGAGTAGAGGATGTCTGGGCCAGCATGGGGCTTGGTGCGGGGCTTTGTTAACCCGGATCAGATCATGTAACCGGTCCTCTTTGGAGAATGGAGCGTTTCTGGCTTCAAAGCCGACGTCCATGGCAGCAATATGTTAACAAGCTGCTTGACCCTGCGGACCGGAGCGAATACTTGGCTGCTGTGCATCAATCTACCAAAAAATAAAAACTCGTCGAGCTTCAAGATACTTTTTTTCTATTCCCGTAAGCTGTGTGAGCTTCAGCAGCTACTCGAATATTACCTGTGGATATTACCGACGTTCTGGGAAGGCGCGCGATCGCCTCGGTACTTTGAAGCGAGATCATATAGTCTAATTGTTATTGTGATCAGAAGGCGGTCGTTGCAAGCCGAAGAAAAGAATATAACAGGCTTGCCATATATATACATGCTGTTCGTTTTCTCTTCCGACTCTTAGGTCTGAATCGATCAACCAGCTCCTCATTTCCATTTCCATTTCCATTTCCATTTCCATTTCCATATCCATTTCCATTTCCATCGTCATCGCATCGCCATTCCGTCATCTCATCTCTTCTCGTCACTGCTTCCTTCCTCAATAATCTTCTCACACACATCTCCAGACCCTTTCCATCCTTGCACGTAGCGAGTACCTAGGTACCGGTAATCAAGCGACCACTCATCTCTCGCCAAGAGCCGAAGAAGATCCGCCGTCGATCCTCGACCTTCTTCCTCGGGCCTCTCCGTCTGAGATGCCCTTCTTCTTTTTTCTTCTTCTTCTTCTTCTTCTTCTT